CCCTTCCTAGGCTGAGCTAATCGTGACTCAGCACGGCGCTGTCACTCCAAGGGGGCCTCGGCTCCCTGGTCCTGCTCCTCGGAGCTCCTAGCGGGGCCAAATGCCTCCGACTTCGAGGTCCCCCGGAGATGGGGCTCAGAGGAGGTGCGCTTGAGCCAGCTCCATCTCCCGGCCGCAGGGTGAACCTGGCAGACAGCTTGTCATAGGTCCTCAGGTTGTTCCTTCAGGATCCAGGGCTTTGCTGTGACCCGAAGAAGCAGATGCCGGGGAACACACTGGAACTGCAGAAACTTTATTTTTCAGGACCCCAAACTCCCAAAGCCTCAGTTCCCACAACAGCCCCCAGGAGTGTAGCCCCACAGGCCCCAGAGCGAGGGGTCGTTTCCTTCCTCCGAGGGATTCCAGGACAATACTAGGCCCCTAAACGGCTCCTAAGCCCCATCTTTCTGGGCCAGCCAGGGTGCCACGTGTTCCCCTACATCCAGCTCGGCTTATAGACACCAGCACGTGTATTCCCACCATTTTCATCTTGGAGTTCATCCCAAGGGTTTAAGCAGCTGCCCCCAGAGGACCCCAGAAAAATACGGATTTTCTATCGTGAACCCCAGCCTCGAGGCTCCCCATCCCTTTTTCTTCTTTTTTGGTACTGGGGCTCGAACTCCGGTACTTGTGCTTGCGAAGCAGGTGGGGGAACCCCCCCTTTTTCAAAATGACCCTCAGGATCCCAGAAATCACTTCCTTCCAAACTTCCCAGTGACTCAGAGTCCACCCTTATCACGCAGAGCCCCAGATCTCCTCCCCCACCCGCACCAGGGCACCTTCCAGAGAAGCCCAGGTTTTCACAACCCCAGAAGCCAGCTTGCTTTCTTGAGATTCCCCCCCACCATGACCTCTTAGTCATTTTCTACGGCCCCAAGCGTCACCATATATCGCTCACCCCTCAGAAAGAACCCTCCCCCAGCCCCTCGACTTCCCCAAAACAGCCCCAGAATCTCAACTCTATCCCCCACTCCCCATTTCCCAACAGCCTCGTGATTCTGGCGCGTGACTCCTCCATCTAGGAGTAGGGGGTGAGACTCCCATCTGCTCGGGATTGGCCAGGCACTGCCTCCAGGCCCCGCCTTCCTCCACGCGGATTGGCTTTCGCTCGCTCTGGGCGCCCGCCTCCGAAAAGCAGCTTGCTATAAAAAACACCGCCCCGCGTTCTTACTCCAGCGGCGCTTCTGGAGGTCTCGCGGATCTGTCTCTTGCTTCAACAGTGTTTGGACGGAACAGACCCGAGGACTCCCACTTTTTCACCTTCTATCCACCTGCCAGCTACAAGTTTTGGGACCATCATCACCTCGCCCGTCTCCTGCTTCCAGGACCAGCCATCACCGTTCTTTTGTGGGTAGCTCCTTATTGCTGACCAGTCATGACTTCTCAGATTCGTCAGAATTATTCTACAGAGGTGGAGGCCGCCGTCAACCGCCTGGTGAACCTGCACCTGCGGGCCTCCTACACCTACCTCTCCCTGGTAAGTGTCCGCTGGAGGCCTCAGGCCCAAGTTCCCACTAACTGCGCAGTTCTGACCTGTGCGCATGCGCACGCCTCCTTTGTTCTGCGGGGCAGGCGGAGGGCGGAGGCCGCCCGCCCGCTTGTCCTTGTCTCCCGCCACATATTTCCCGCCATCTTTTCCCGCAGGGCTACTACTTCGACCGTGACGATGTGGCTCTGGCGGGCGTGGGCCATTTCTTTCGCGAGTTGGCCAAGGAGAAACGCGAGGGCGCCGAACATCTCCTGAAGATGCAGAACCAGCGCGGTGGCCGGGTTCTGTTCCAAGACGTGCAGGTAAACACAGGGAGTAGCAGACTACGACTCCCAGCAGGTCTTGCATACGGGGCTCCTTGGCTTTAGCTGGGCGGGTGTGGTTGGGGATTTTGGGAAATTGAGTGCAGTCTGTGCAGATTATGGATGGACGTGGACATGCAGGGGGTTCCTCCAGAATTCTGGGGGTGGCTCAGATCGCAGTGTGGATTTGGGAGACTTGTGTCGTACTTGTAGGAGTGATACAGACTCATTTGTCTTCTAGGGCCAGGTCCCTAGCAACTGGGATTGTGATTTTAGCTCTTTGTGTATGTGTAGGGAAATATGGCTGTTTTCTGAACCTGTTGTCTTCTCTGTAGAAGCCTTCTGAAGATGAGTGGGGTAAAACCCTGGACGCCATGGAAGCTGCCCTGGCCCTGGAGAAGAACCTGAACCAAGCTCTTCTGGATCTTCATGCCTTGGGCTCTGCCAAGACAGACCCCCATGTAAGTGGCTACCCCTGGATCCATGACTACCAGTCCTTTGGGCACATTTCCTGAGCCTTATTCCTGTTTGTCCTGTTGTTAGAAGCAGCTCTGCTACTCTCCCCACAACTGGATTTCTGACTTGTTTTCCTTTTCAGCTCTGTGATTTCCTGGAGAACCACTTTCTAGATGAGGAGGTGAAGCTCATCAAGAAGATAGGTGACCACCTCACTAACCTCCGCAGGCTGGCAGGTCCCCAGGCTGGGCTGGGCGAGTACCTCTTCGAAAGGCTCACCCTCAAGCATGACTAGGAGGCCCCCGAGCCTAGTGGCCTCTGAGCGGCTGCTGCTCACCAGCATCAGGGCTTGGGCCTAACCCTCTCCCTCCAGCCACTAGGCAGCTTTTTCACCTCTGGAGCCCCCTCCAAAATCTTGGACCAAAAGAAAATAAAGCCTTTTGCAGCACCTGGTGGTGTGTGTATGTATACCTGTGTGTGTGCATGCATGCATTGTGGAAAATGAGGCCCAGCTGCGCCATGACAGGAAGCGCTCTGTTGACCCCAGCTCCTGTTTTCTAAGGCAGGACCATCTGTGGGGTGTGTTGTGGTTGAGGGTTCTCTGCTTACCTGGCTGTTTAAGAAGTGCACTCCCTAGATGTTTGAGGGAGTTGTGCAGTGATACCTGGGCTTCTTAGCTGGAAGCTGACACCACTGGATTTCATTATCCTGAAAGGCTGTTTTAAGGAGTGAATTATGAGACCAGGTGCTGGCGGTGTGTGGCCAAAATTGGGGGTATTGGGCCGGGGATTTAGCTTAGTGATTCCACTGCCTGCCTCACTGGTACTAAAGAGTAGCGGTGTTAGGCCTTTTACATGGGCGAGTCGAGGCCATTACCATTAACAAATGCTTAACAACTGAATACCTAGCTCCAAAGGCTGCTCAGGCCACTTTCAGAGTGGCACAGAGCTACCAGGGCGTGGGTGATGCCCAAGGGTGCTGAGCTAGGGCATTGGGGCTCAGGATAAAGGGATGTGAAACGAGGCCACACACTTCAAAAGGGAACTGAAGCAGCTCAGTAAACTGCTGGGTCTGATCTTTAGAACCACTGTGTCAGCTCTTACTCCTTTCCCCCTTGTAAATTTATGGTGGGGAGGGCTCTTTGGGGGTCACGAGGGCGCTGGAGATCTCATCTGGGGCCATACTTGTATATGCTAGCTAGTACGTGCCCAATGCTGAGACACATCCCCGCCCAGAAAAGAACCTGGATGGCCTTTAGGCCCTGTCCTGTCCTTTGGTCAGCACTGCGCTCCTGCCACTGCACTTGTGGCCATTTGTGATTTGGAGGGAGCAGGAAGCTTACCCTGTCTGCCACACATGGGCTAACAGGAAAGATGACTGATTCAAATTCAGAGCAATTAGGGCTGGGGAATTAGCACAGTGGAGCCTCACTGGCCTCACAAGCTCAAGGTCCAGTTTGATTCCTGGTACAAAAAAAGATTAAGAGCAATGAGAGGGGCTGGGGATTTAGCTCAGTGGTCCCGGAGCCTGCCTCGCAAACTCAAGGACCGGACCGGAGTTCAATCGCTAGTACCACCAAAAAAAAAAACAAAACAAAAAAAACCCCAAAGCAAAAAAAAAAAAAAAAAAGCAATGAGAGATGCATACATGGCCTTCCTTTGTAGTTCAGGCTGGCCTCCAACTTGGTGCAATGTCTCCTGCCTCAGCCTCCCAAGTGGTAGGAAGATGTGCGCCACCACACCCTGCTTGGGAAGGTATTCCTTGACAGTAGAGCTACTGAGAGGCCAAAGTAGAGTCCTTGAAACACTAACCATATGAGATGTCCAGAGATCCTCTTCCTAGAAACAGGACTCCTTTCCAGCAAAGACCATGTAAGCCAAGTTTTTGCCATTTAAAGTCAGGTCCCAACTGAGCAGCCAGACAAGCCTTCCTTGAACAGCACCGGAACCTTACATCAGCCATCTAAGTCTTTCCGGGAGAGCACCATAAAGCATCAGAGAGGGGGGCCCAGAGCAGGCACTAAAACCATGAGGACTGCGGGGAGGCAGGAACAGGAACAAAGCCCACTAAGTGCTCATGTCTGACCACACTTGGGATGCTTAAATACCGATGTATTTTTTTATCTCTGGACACACTCCAGGCACACCCTTTCTGCCCTCCCCTCCCACTGCAAACCAAAGTGGAGTGTCAGCACAGCACACGTGAGGGGCGCTCCCTTCACCAAAGCTGGTGGCCCAGCACAGCCTGGGGATGGAAGGGCCTCGAGGTAACTGTGGGGCTTATAGAACCCAGGGGACTCAGCTCTAGAACAGGGCAAAGGGACCCGGATGCAGGACAGTGGTGAGGTTTCAGATTTAGCAGCTGGGACCTAGAGCCCAGTGGTTTCATGGAGTGGTTGGGTGGGCTGGGTGGGGGTAGGGTAGACAGTTCCGTCTTCAGCAGAGGGAGGCCGTGGAGGGCACTGAAAGAGTTCAAGAGACAGAGGAGAGCTCAGACTCAGGAAAAGGAGGGAGAATGTGGTCCAAAACAGCCCAGAAAGGCAGAAGCGTATCTAGATCAAAAATGCATCCTCTCCAGAAGAAATTAGAAGCCAAATGCTTATGCCACCCCGGCCTGGCCCACAGGAGTGCTTTGAGTGATCCTCTGTGCAGGATTGGATATTGAGGGAGGGCTACACCGCAAGCCTCTTCTGGAGCTCAGGAGTTGAACTGCAGGACCATCTGCATTAAGTCCCTGAAAAAGTAGCAGCTCTGACATAGTTGTCCCATTAACAAGGACACAACGTGATTTCTAGCACTTGGTGGTCCCCATGCCAGGCTTGGGCATGGCATGCCGTGTATGCTACAGAATTTGCAAACCACAGAGACGCCAAGAGGCCTTCGCCTACGATGACACAGGCCAGGCTTCCCAGCACCTCTGTCACCACTGCAGAGTAATGGCAGATTCCTGGCCTCTGAGACCCAGTCCAAACCTGCGGGGGGGGGCTCCAGGGCACAGATAATGCATTCTGATATCCAAGAAAGGCACAGTGTTGTGGATTTTGGAGTGTGTGTGGCGATCCAGGCTGGATCCCACTAGGGATCTGGAGTGGAATTCGGGAACAGCACCCGCTGTATCCACTTTCTGGGGGGACCTGTGGGGGGCAGAGGCCTGGCCGGCTTAGTTGCGCTCCTCCCCCAGGGAGCTGGCGGGGCTGAGGGGCTCACTGGGCGTGCTCAGCGAGCTGGAGGGCGCAGTGTCCACCGAGTTGCTGCGCTTGCCGGTGGAAGAGCTGCAGGAGGCGCGGCGTGGCCACTCCGGCGGGCGGATGTTGCGCCGATCCTTGGCAGCCTCCTCCTCCTCATCATACCGTTCGCCATCTTCCAGTGGTCCTTCCCGGGCTTCCTCCTCATCCTCGCTCTGGTGCGGACTCGAGTGCCGAGACAGCGAGGGTGATGGTGGCACGGAGGCCGGCCGTGGGTAGCGATAGCCCTGGGTCTGCATTCCCGAGTGGGGGACACAAATCATGGACTGAGCAAAAGCCCCAGAGTCCTGAGAGATACCTGGCCCCCTCCAGGATTTTAAACTTCCCAAAGGAAGCTGGTCGTGATGGCGCACGCCCATAATCCCAGCACTCGGGAGGCTGAGGCAGGAGGATCGCTGTGAGCTCGAGACCAGCCTGGGCTACATAGTGAGTTCCAGGTCAGGCTCAACTACATAGTGAGACCCTGTCTCAAAAAAAAAAAAAAAAAAAAAAAAAAAAACCTCCCGAAAGGAACCCCCAGCCCAGTGCTCTAACTTCCCGCTCCACTCACCGCGTCTGCGTCATGGGGCTCGTAGGTGAAGTGATCCGGGAAGGCCTTGGCCAGCGCCATGTGGCGCGCAGACATATAGTACTTAGGAGAAAGACGTAGAGGAGGTATTAAGGGAAGGGAGGCCGGAGCAGAGGGACCTACCCTCCCGGTGGCAAATCCTGGCCACGCCTTTATGCAAATATATCTCGTTCTGCTTCTACTCAAACAGACAAACGGAGCTATAAATGGCCAATTCCTGAGCCACTCCCACCAGGGGCGGGAGTTTCACCCCATCAAGCAAGGATTTGGCCACACCCATATGCAAATGAAAGAACTCCGACCATAGTTCTTCTTGGAGAAGTCCATCGCTTAAAGAGACAGCAATTTTCACAATTAGGCGGAGACTCTAATCTGCTCAGGCTTTGGAGGCTGCAGAAGCCCAGATCCAGAGCTGGAAGCGGCCGATGGACCCAGAGCCCGGAAAACAGCTGAGGGTAGGGATGGGCTCATACCCGGCCTAGGTATTTCCAGTCCAGAAGGTCGGAGAGGCGCTCCGTGCGGTTCCGCTGGATGATGCGCTGTCTGCGGCTCTGCTGGCAGAAGCTGTAGAGGAAGGAGGTGAGCTGTGAGCAGGAATCGTCCAGGCTGCGGAACCGCCGGTCCAGGATGTAGATTCCTGTGGAGGCAGGGGCAGAGTTCAAAGAACTATCCAAGGGGACCTGCATTCTCGCCGGCTCTCTAGGGCACTGGGCCCCCCACCCCGACTCCACATCCCTTCTACCCAGGGTCCAGCAGTTCCAGCTGCCCGTCTCTAACCCTCAGGGGCCTGGGCGCTGACCGTAAGCTGAGGGGTCTGCGATGTGCTCCTCCATGAAGCAGCCGAAGCCGGAGAGGTTGGTGGAGATACTGGGGATGCCCATGACCGTACACTCCGCTGCAGGGAGGGAGAGAAACGCCCACTTAGCTTTCTTCTCTCCTAAAGCCTTTTTTTTTTCTTGAGACAAGGTCTTACTAAATTACTCAGGCTGAGTTCACCTTGTGACCCTCCTGCCTCAGCTTCCCAGAGCTCTGATACAGGTGTTCACCACCATCACTCCTGGCTCCTAAATTTAAATTGGAATGAAACTCAGCGCCCTCTACTGGCGCCTGAACCAAGTGCCTCGTCCCCGAGCCCAGACCTCCTCATGCTGTGCATTAGTTTATACAACAGTTTCTTGAGGAAGCTAAGGGAATCAGAAAAGAGAATTCACTTGCTCTGAGAATTCAGAATGCAGACACTTCCACAGTCAAGAAATAAGGATGATTTAGGCCGGGCGTGGTGGCACACTCCTGTAATCCCAGCACTCAGGAGGCTGAGGAAGGAGGATCACTGTGAGTTGGAGACCAGCCTGAGCTACATAGTGAGTTCCAGAGTTCCAGGGCAGTCTCAACTACATAGTGAGGCCCTGTCACAAAAAAAAAGTGAAAGAAATAAGGATGACTTATGGGCAGTTCATCTAGCTCAGTGTCCATCATTTTAATTAATCTTCAGAACCTTAAGATACGTCTTTTATGCCAGAAACCAGAACCATACTGTTTGGGTTATGAGTGTCAGTCTGTTTTGATGGGAAATTTTAAAAAAATGTTTCTCATTAATCACTTGTACAGAGCACCTTGATGCCTTCTTTCATACCTTAAACAACCCTGAAGCCAGGCATGGTGGTGTTTGCCTGTGATCCCAGCTACCTAGGATGCAGAGGCAGAAGGATGGTAAGTTTGGGCACAGACTGGGCCATACAAGGACTTAATAAAACCCTGTTTCAAAATAAAAAGAGCTAAGGATGTACCTCAGGGTGAAGGCCTTGGGGTCAATCCGCGGAACTGCCAAATGTTTAAACACAGGGAGTGTTCTACTCCTGGGCTACACCCCCAGCCCTTTTATTTTTTTTAGAGAGTTTTACTAAATTAAACAGACTGGTCTTGAACTTGTGATCTGCTGCATCCCGCACAGTGTAGGGTCCGATGCCGGGGAGAACAGTGGGAGATGAAAAGACAATGAAGAGACCAAGATTATTCTTGGTCTGTTTTGTTTTTTTCCAGGTACCAGGGATTGAACTCACAGATTTTTTTTTTTTTTTT